ATCAAACCGAAATGAGAATTCCCACCTCAATAAATGAATGGAGTGTAAAATAATATCCACCTTCAGACAATGAAACAATATAAGCAAGTGATTCTCACGCTGCAGCTAAAATCCCTGTGCAGGTTTCTTTCCTCTTGGGTTCTTAACAAAGCTTTATAACTTCTCTTTATCTGTCTATACAATACTAAACTTCCATATAAACAACAATCACTAGCAATGACACATTTTACCCTATACAAAGTGTTCTCATCCATTTCGTGTCACAATATTTTGTCATATCTACTCATTTACATGAGTTTTCGGAATTTAAAACTTGTTTTGTTTGTTACTAATAATTAGAATCAGAGGTCAAAATTTGCAAAGATCTAATTATTGCGGAAGGTATAGGTTTTGCATCATTTTTATTTTACTTAAAATTTCAAGGCAACATCTGAGCTGTAACAAAATCTGGACGTTTTCCAACTAAAAAATGTTTAACTTACATTTAAATAACCACACACACATACACACGCAGAAACATTGAGACTTTCAACATAAAGCCTGGATTTGAGAATACCGGGTTAATGTAACGTTGTTCAGTCTCGTTCAGTTCACACAGTGCTTTGGAACTATGTAAAAGTACATTTATAATTTATGGGCTAAGTTAGATGTTCTAATCCCGAATTTGAATACTTGATTGAATACTTGCAAAACTTTGGTTGAATTGGCAGATACGCTCAATTTTCCTCTGGTGCTCTGTCTTCAGGCTATATCTAGGTAGTATCGATTAAGAAAATATTACCATACCTTTTGTCGTCATAACAGGAAAACCTAGGCAGAGTCGTCAAATGTTTACGCAATGCATTATCATGGGATAGTATTTATCCACGCTTTCTCCTGCGCCGCATTCCAAATTGATGTAAGCGAGACACTGAAGAATGGCCGCTACCAAACCACGCGATCTAAAGGTGATGCTTTGCACGTAGATTCTCGTACATGGTTGCGACAAAGGAAATAACATTTGTTTAAAATTTTGAATGCAGATAAGTCAATATAAGATGTATGAAAAAGTTCTAGAGATGTCTTTTTACTCTATGTGTTTTACGACCGCATTTTTATATGAACTTAAAAACCATACCCCCTATGTCACAATGGTACGTCCCTCACCCCTCCAGAATTTTTTTTTACAGCGCTCCCTGAACTAGTGAACTAGTGACTCGGACTAGAAGACCGCGAAAGGCTCATAATGTTTACGTTCGGAACTCGTTTTAAAGAACCGTTTCCAAACGATTCAGCCAAACTAAAACCTTTGAATAATTTTAATTCAGTTTTGTTTGTAGCAACAACGACAAAGTTACTTCTCCACATCCAATCTTTACGATCTTACGAATGAATCAAGAGGTTTTAAGTTCAGTAGTCACTAAGTTAGTCAGTGAACTGTTGCCTCGTGAACGAAATTGTTCAGACTAGTTTAGTGAACTGGATCAAAAGATTTGTTCACGAATTGGACATGGTTAGACTGAATACATGCTGGGCAGTGTATACTGTTAGATCCTCTTATAATAATGGCTTAAATCGTTTGCGAACGACACGTCGTTGGCACTGTATAGGATAGGAAATGAGGGCTATTGTCATTTCTGTAAAATGAGCAGTTGAGATACACGCGGTCGAATCTTTTGAAAAGCAAAGAAAATGTAATGTACCATTATGGGACTGCAGGGTCCTGGTGCCTTTCATTAACATATGAATGGTTTCACCTTGAAAAGGAGACTGACTCACAGTAAATGCTCATGCGGTAGTCACGGAAAAGAGAGAAGGGTTTACTAGTTGATCTGATTTGAAAGTAGATTAACTTTCAACAGCAGAATGTAACTTCCTTAACGCAATATCTCTATGAGTTAACGAGAAAAGATCCGAATACCGAAAGTGTCATAAGGATTTATTATTATTATTATTATTATTATTTTACCTAGGGTTATTCTTAACCCTGTATATTGATTGATTGAAAACTAGGGAAACTGGTTTGTCACCAAGCATAGCCTACAACCATAAAACACAACAGACAAAATAAATAATTATGCATTTGGTGACTAATAAACCCTGATTAGGAGACACAGTTTGAAAAATAAATAAATAAAATAAAATTGTATAAAGTGGTTCTTCCATGTTTCGTACATAGGCTACTGGTTGGGTGACATGAAAAAACACCCAAAAACAAACAGTTTCCGTCACACATGAAAAGATGTAACGTTAATAAAGCCCGTGAAAGGTTCGGTCTACTAGCGTTAGGTAGTCTATTGTATGGTTGGCATTTCCTCGACAACTCGCTGTGATTAGCTCATACCATTGTTTAAAACAACGTATAACCTCGATTGCCAGTTAAGTGATACTAATACCACGTAATAATGCAGTCGTATAGGATCATCGAAAAAGATCGATTATGATGAGATAACAGATAAACAAATGCCGTTAGTAACTTTGAAAAACACATAATGTACTGCAGAAACCGACCACTAGATGTCAGCAGTGAGATGTGAGGTTTAAGCTTCAGGTTTTTTTTTTTTTTTTAAAAAGGTAAACATTTAAAAATTAACCACCATGATGGTTTTTTTTTACATATATAAGTATAAACAGAAGGTCTACTGTAATTTTGTTTTACTAACTTTACTAATAATATTGTCAGTATGCATATTACACTAAGAACGTTTAAAATTACTTTTTGAGGCCCCCAAAGGTGTAAAATATCAGTGTAAATCAGATGGGTTTGTTAATGTGTGCTTTCCTCTCAGAGGTAAAAAGAAACATTTACTTCAATGCATGCAGTAAACACTTATCGTGATGATTCACCATCACAGGTTAGCCACAGAGATTCTGGCACAAGCAAAAATGGGGAAAATGACATTGCCATTGTGTCTTAAGAACTAGTGCAATTACTAACTCGTAAGACTATGCAGCCGGCCCCAGTATAATATATTTTAAACTCATATGACATATATAGGATACACAATTAGTCTGACAACCACACTTTTATATTTGCTCTACAGATGTTAAATTATGAATTTTAAAAATTGGTTTATTTTTTTGTGTCCTAGACTAAGGTGGTAACATCACTTAAACCTTGTGAAAACTTTATGAAGGAAACAACATTTGTGGACAACATTAATGCCTTTGTCTAGACATAAGCCACAAACCATCGTGTTACCATACTTGTGCAAAAAAAAAAAAAAAAAAAAAGAACTTGAGCTTTACAACCTTACAATTTGTTTCCTCATTTTCTACGATCGTATCTAGGTGACTTTTAGTCTTTGGCAGTTTTTCACAAAGTTGAAGTAAACAAACCCAAACCGAGTGTGAAATGTTGTAAAGTTGAGACAGTTAAAGTGATGTAATTAAGTGATACTGGTTACATAAAATTACATATACAATATAAATACAAAATATATAAATATCTGAATATTTAATTTATTACACTTAAATATATATTTCAATTACAGGAAACAGTAAGCCTACGTTTTGTTAAAAAGAAAAAATACAAGTTCCTATATCGTATTGTATGCCAGCCAACCTTTCAGTATTACTCACACTAACACATTATCTTTGTTGGCTCTTTAGATTTGTGGATTGTGAAACTAATTGTGTGAAAGAAGATTTACAATCAAACCAAGAGTAGCTTATCGTATAGAAACTGCAACGAAGGGAAAAGAGGTTCATGAGAATGTTTGTGAAATAACGTTCTCACCGGGGTTCTGATGTCAACCTAAACTGCGGTCGGTAAGGGCAGTTAAAAAAGTGAAGCATAGGTCATAACCTATTTTTAGTGTAAGAACATTTTCTTAGAAAAAAAACATGTGGCGTTTATGTGTCTGAAAGATGGCAGCTGTTTATGTTGACTGCCACTTAAAAGTAAAGTCAATGAAACATGTCAGATAATTAATATAATTAGTTCAACTAATGCTGGGCAACACGTTTACTTGAAAATGGGTTTGTGCCAATGGATTATTTGTTTTAAAAAATTAAGCAAAGAATTAAAGACCTAAAATGATATCAATGAACCAGTGCATGATTTTGTCTTATTTACATGTACAGTATATATTACATTATTTTATTATAAGATTTTTTTAGGCTGATGGAATGTACAGCTTCAGTGGTAATGGGCGCATTTCATTAACCTCAAATCTGATGATTTATTACAAAACCAGGTGGCATACATATAAAACAATGAACCATTGAACTTTCAGAGAAAGCCCACTCGATTACTGAAATGAATCACTAGCTGGCACTTTTTTCAGTTCATTTAAATGAATATATATATTTATAAGATAACTGGTACAGTATATCTTTTCTTTGACTGTATGACACTTTTTTATGCTAGTGTTTTTCATACAGTTTTTACATTCTTGTCGGGAAAAACATAACCTTTTTCAAAGATGAAAGTTTCGATCGAGCATATAGCTCCATGCGAGAACCATTTTGTCTAAAAACTTGCTGTGCGACTCATTTCGAAGAGCAACTGCAATACCATGCCACCTCGAACCATTGAACTTTCACAACATCCACTCAGTTTCTCATGAGAAAATTACTCCAGAAAAAATGAAACCTGTGTGTGCTATAGACCATTTGCCATTCTCATTTGTTCATTGATTGTAGTGATAATGACTGATCAGTGCCATGGTTTTGAAGTAGGACGCTACATCATAAAAGGCTCAAAGCGGTAGGCAATAGATCATGAAATGTTTCTAAAAATGAATTTCTTATTATCATATTTGGATTTAGGAGTTTATATATACAATGTTTCAAGTGTTTTGTTTATGCTACAATATTTGGTAACACTTTATTACAGTGTCCTTGTTAAATGTTACATAGTAATTACTATAAATTATGCAAAATTACATGCAACTAACCCTAAACCAATCCTAACTATAATCAAGTAGTTGATATTACATACTTAAATGCATGTGTAACACGGACATCTTAAAATAAAATGTAGCCCAATATTCTTAAGAAAATCGAATGAGACTGAGTACTATAAGAAAGTTTATTACTTAGCATACATACACAAGTATATATATACTGTATATACATATACATTTATTTTAAAGTTGTAGGAAAAAGCATAATAAATTCTGAATATTCATAGATAACATCCGAAGCGGGTGCATAATTACTAAATGACTAATGTCCATGTGGAATAATAATGCTTTAGACAATTACTGTCAAAAATATGTCCATACATGCTTGCTTGTGATTTACCTTAATTAATCCTATACATTAAGTACAAGATTCAATGCATTTAATACATCTAATGCATTTTTTATGAAGTAACATTGCTCAAAAGTTTGATTACTTAGCAAACACATTTTCAATGCATTTTGTTTTGTATTAATGCATTTAATAGATCTAATGCATATTTTTTATGAAGTAACATTGCTCAAAAGTTCGATTACTTAGCAAACACATTTTCAATGCATTTTTTTCTATTAATGCATTAATACATCGAATGCATTTTTTATGAACTAACATTGCTCAAAAGTTTGATTACTTAGCAAACACAAGTAAATATAAAAATGAAGTTGTGTATAACAGTATAAACATTTTTTAGATTACTGTCAAAATGTGTACTTACATGCTTGCATTGTGTGCAATTTATTTTTATGTATCTTGTACACTAAGTAACATGTTCACCAATCTATAATGTAGGAAATCAAAAACAGAATGTATAGAACGTTGCTCACAAATGAAATCAAATTAATGCAGAAATATGCAGTATTCATCTAAAATGCTCAGTATGATCAATTCATATTATAGCAAATGCTTAAAAAACAAAATATTTTAAGTATATATCGACTTCACCTGATATTATCACTGATAAAGAAAGAGTGTGCTCTGAAAACAGTATAGATTTCACTCCTTCTGAGTAAGTGAGAAAAGCCGTCCACGGGTCGAAGTATTTCCAGAGTAAGTATCAGAAGTGGCATTAGAGAAAGTATTAGAAGAGCTCTGGTGGACTTCTCCTTGACCCAGGCAGCTCAGACACAGGGCCGAGGCTCTGCGCCTGAAATGCTGATCCAGAAAAAAGTAGATGGCTGGATTTACACAACTGTTGAGAAATGCCAGGCAGCAGGACAGCGTGAGCCCATTAAGTATGATCGACCTTGTGTCCCTGCTAAGATCTCCCGTTCTCATCAGTAAGATGACTTGGATGGTCTTCAACAAATTGAAAGGAAGCCAGGAAATCAGAAAAGCAGCAATTATGGCCAACACGATCTTGAGGGTATGGCGTTGTCTGGCTTCTGCACGTGAGTTTGCGGCAGTGTGACAGTGACGCCGCAGGTTAACCAAAATCGACCCATAACAAAGGACTAGAATCAGTACAGGGAGCAGGAAGGTTAGAAATACGGTCAGGAGATTCATTCCTTGGACGAAAAACGATTTCGAATCCTCCGAACACATAGTATCGTCTATCAACCGACGGTACACCAACGATGGAATTCCAAGGAAGAACGAAATGATCCACACCATGCCACAGGTGATCTGCACACACTTGGTACTCCGTAGGAACTGAGAGTCCATGAGGCGCACGATAGCCAAGTACCGGTCCACGCTCATGCAGGTGAGGAAGAAGATGTTGGAAAAGCGGTTGACCGCAATGATGAAGCTGCTGATCTTGCACAGGACCTCACCAAAGGGCCAGTCGCCATTAAGTGCCGAAACCGCCCAAATTGGCAACGTGAGAACGAACACAAGGTCGGCTAATGCCAAGTTCAGCACGAAGGTGTCCACAAGACGTCCGTATTTCTGTCGCCGTTTGCCGATTACCAAAATGACAAAAAGGTTCCCCAAGAAGCCAGCGAAGAACATGATGAAGTAGAGCACAGGAATGTAGACATTGGACATTGGCAGCGAATCGTTCTCGAATGGACTGTAGTAGACGTAATCATCTGTGGAGTTCACTGAATAATCAAGGTAATCGTAATTGCTCGTGGAGTTCATTGCAACATCAGAGGGTGTCATCTCTTTACTGCTTGCCATCTGTGCACAAGTGATGGGCAAAGCTGAAAAAAAAAAGCACATCACACGCTTGGAAACCACAAACTTCAATAACAGGCTCCCTATCTCTCTTTCTCTCTCTTCTCTCCATTTCCTTAAAATGTTTAAATTTATCACAAAGAGGTGCATTCTCTCAAATGTACAGTGCTGAAATGTGACTCATTGGTATATCATTTTTTTTTTATCTCTATCATGTCAAAGTCAAAAATAGTCAGAGGGACTTGATTTACTGCTGATTGGTGTAGAATCAGTGCAGTTGCTTTTTGAAAAGCTGTTTTTCTTAACGCGCATGAGAATCTTAAAACAAATGTATAATGTTTAAGCAGTTTTCTCACGCACAATTACTTCCTCTAAGCAAGACCAAAATGAAGAGCGTTAAAAAAAGTGAGAAAAGTGTACTTGGTGAGATAATGCAACTGCAACAAAATTATTAATAAGAGTGAGAAAGGTGCAGAGTCTAAGTGGTTGTGGTTTCCTGGTGTTTACAGGGGTACCACATATTTGACACCATTTTAAACGCTTGAACAGACTAGATTAAAGTTCAAAGTCACAAGTAAAGTAGGAATAATTAAAATGGCATTGCAAAGATGTGGTCACGTTAGCAAAAAGTCATTAACTTTCACACGTAAATAAAGGTTGATTGTACATTGTCAATATTGTAGTGATGTATGCAGCTCATAGGCTACAGAAGTAACTTTCAAACCAGCAGATTTCTGTTGGTCAATGCATCGAATCCAAGTGTTCTGCATGGATTTGTATGAATTTGCTGAGCAACCATCATGTGACCGCACCTCAATGTACATTAAATTAAGTACAATCAACTTGGATGTTTAAGTCATTTAAACTTGAATTATATTAAACTGACTGAAAATTAGTTAAATCTGGTATAACTTATAAAAACTTATTTTGATGAGCAATGTAAAAACATATGTTGTCATGTTTTCAGTTTGTGTCTTGATCCGTTTTTCTGTTCAGTTCATGTTGTAAAAAATGTAATGTTGACTTTACGGAAACCGATTGCCTTAAAATCTCTAAGTAGTATTGTATTTATTTTTAGTTGGCACAAACTTAACATTTGAAGAGAAAACTTGTTGATCAAGTACTATTGAATCAAAATAATTAGTTGTGTTAACTTCTCAATAGAGTTCACTCTCTATAGAATTACTTGGAAAATATCAGGAAACGGATTGCCTTAAAAATTACATGCCTTAAATATTTACATGTTAAAGTTAAGGACATAAGTGTTAGCAACAAAATTCCCAAAGCGCCATATAGGACGCTTTTGCAAAAGCGTAAATATCCAACGCACATGGCACCCTTTAACGTAAAATGAGACGCAGATATATTTGGGCAGAAGGCGCCCCCTATAACACGTGAATTGTTTAAGTTATCGTTTTACTGTTGTTTTTTTTTTTAATCGACGAGGTTTAGCAAAGACAGATATCACGTGGCCCATCACAAACAAATTATTTTATTCTTCTGTGGGCAAACGATCGAGCTTCATGCATGGAATGGAAAAATTCTCACGAGAATGTCTAAAGTTACTGAAAAACTAAGACGACCATATCGTTCAAACAGCCTGTGGATATAAAATTGTTCTAACAGAAGTGAATATGAACACATTTCTTTTTTCCTGACAAAAGTTATAGTGGGATACACCTGCCAAAATATGTATCCCCCCCTAAAATCTACAGATGATGGCCTATCATTAAGTGTTTTATTTTGTGAATACTGTACATCATGTCTAATAACAGAAGTGAATATGAACACATTTCTTGTTTCCTGACAAAAGTTACAGTGGGATACAGATTTTTTCAGTCCGTATTTTCGACCTGCCAAAATATGTATCCCCCACCCCCTAAAATCTACAGATGATGGCCTATCATTAAGTGTTTTATTTTGTGAATACTGTACATCATGTCTAATAACAGCAGTGAATATGAACACATTTCTTGTTTCCTGAAAAAAGTTTACTATAACTTAATGATAGGCCATCATCTGTAGATATTAGGGGGGGATACATATTTTGGCAGGTCGAAAATACGGTCTGAAAAAATCTGTATCCCACTGTAACTTTTGTCAGGAAACAAGAAATGTGTTCATATTCACTGCTGTTATTAGACATGATGTACAGTATTCACAAAATAAAACACTTAATGATAGGCCATCATCTGTAGATTTTAGGGGGGGATACATATTTTGGCAGGTGTATCCCACTATAACTTTTGTCAGGAAAAAAGAAATGTGTTCATATTCACTTCTGTTAGAACAATTTTATATCCACAGGCTGTTTGAACGATATGGTCGTCTTAGTTTTTCAGTAACTTTAGACATTCTTGTGAGAATTTTTCCATTCCGTGCATGAAGCTCGATCGTTTGCCCACAGAAGAATAAAATAATTTGTTTGTGATGGGCCACGTGATATCTGTCTTTGCTAAACCTCGTCGATTAAAAAAAAACAACAACAGTAAAACGATAACTTAAACAATTCACGTGTTATAGTTTAATTCACCTTGGACAAAGCAATGACGCACCTCCTGCTGAATGCGAGCGCGCTCCCGCGACCGGGGATACACTTTCTATCAGGGGTAAGTACCTTGGCACGACACCGTCTCTGGCTTAGCGCCAGCCAGCGCGCGAGAGCAAGTTTGAATTTTGCAGTTGCTGACGTGATGCACTGAACGTTCTAATCACACCGGTGTGATCGTACACTCCAGGGACCAGCCAAGAAGACTGATCACACTGGTACGTGCGAAAAAGTGACGATTTTGTAAACACTTGCCTAGTTTAGGTCATCTTTTCGCGGACCACTAGGGGGCGATGGTGGTCCGCGGACCACACTTTGAGAATTACTGAATTAGACGTTAAAGGGTGCCATGTGCGTTGGATATTTACGCTTTTGCAAAAGCGTTGTATATGGCGCTTTGGGATGAGAATGCCTTGTACATACATATGTGACCGAATGGTTACCGGCAAGACGGAAGTCAGCCTAATCTACGGCAAATAATTAGGGCTTCAAGCACGAAACACACTTCGTGCTTGTGTTTACTTTCCGTGGAAGACAAAGGGACATTTTTGAACATGTAGCCTAATGAAGACTCTTTTTGTCGATGTAATTTTTAATATTTATTTAATATGTTTTTAATATGATAGCTTTATGTGACGAACAAACTGCAATTTAAGTCGTTATATTAATTATAATCACTGAAGAGCTTTACCTCTTGATAGCTTTTAATCGCAGCCAAATCATTCAAAAAGATTCGACTCGAAAGACTCTTTTATTTCGATATTTGTGATTATTAAATCTTCTCTCTAACTGAATATCTGCAAATATGGCAGCGTTCTATTTGTAGTGACGTAGGTGGCATCTACTCTCATCTGTCATTTGTCCTCTGACTGGTTTACATCCTGATTCTATGAAACCACTCCCTCAGAAACAGGCAATGGGCTCAGATTGGTTAGTTTGGGCCGGTGTGTTGTGATTGGCTAAACTTCTGCACGGGGGACTTGTATGAATTTGATGAGCAACGGATGATGTGACTGCACCTCAATGTAAAAAAAAAATTGCTGTCATAAATTGAGTACAATCAACTTGGATGTTTAAGTCATTTAAACTTGAAGTACATTAAACTGAATTTAAAAAAATGTTAAATCTGGTATAACTTGATAAACACTGAAAATTGCTTAACTTATTTTGGTGAGTTAAAGCAATGTAAAAACATATGTTGTCATATTGTCATGTTTTCAGTTTGTGTTTTGATCTGTTTTTCTGTTCAGTTCATGTTTGAGGCCTTGTCCACAACAGATTTTCGTTTGAAAACGCATCTTTTTCTCTCGGTTTTGGCTTCAAATCCACACTCAGATGGCATCTTTATGAATGAAAACAAAGCTTTTTGAAAATGCTCTCCAAAGTGGATCAATTTGAAAGCACCATTTTCGCATTGTAGACTGTCAAAATGGAGGCATTTAGGACCGATAACGCAAGTTGAGTCGTGTTTATACAGGTTGTGCCTGTTACGTAATCACTTTCACACTGTTGCTAATATGTTACTTTGCACACTCTACATATCGCATAGTCCTGCAAAGATGACAGAAAATGTACTCGCATTTGCTGTCCCGTTGCAAGGCTGCGTTTTAGACCAAACAAATGCATGTGGTGACTGTAAGCGACCTGGAGTATCTCCTTTGTCGACTGATTACAGCCACCTTATCCGTGACCCATGTGGTCTGATCATCTAACTTTACCTTGTGAAACCAACACCTTTTGTTTCCTTCACGCACTGGGGTTTGAGGGTGGTTTTAATGGTTAAATGATTCAGGGTTGGAGATTTCCTGTACTGATCAGTTTGCAAGCTGAAAGACCGTCCCCTCAAAATCATGTCAAGACACATAAGGACTAGGCCTATATTGATAAGAATGCTCTTTTAAATACAGAGAAATTAAATTAATTTTTAACATTAAACAATGTATAAATTAAACATTCAATACCATTTAATCATGACAAAATATATAACCACTACTGCTTGCCTCTACAAATTTGTAAAAAAATTATATATGCAGACATCATGGTGATGCACTTATTACAGTTGAAGTTAAAAGGAATATTTTGGTCAACGTTTGATTGACGTTTCTGTTGACTGTATTTAGATTTTGAGGTGTATAAAATATGACAGCCTATGAGACAGATGATCAAATAATTATATCATGATAAAATAAATATTTTAAAACCAATATTAATTTATGCTAAAACCAGTACTAGTTGCTTACTAAATAATTAAGTATTTCATAGGTTTCTATGAGTGGTTGTTTTACAAGTCAATGGCAATTTTTTTTAGTGCAAACTTCAACACACGACTATAGCTTTTATGATCAAATCTCATCACTTTATATTTAGCAACTTTAAAAAATTATATAAAATATACAGCTATTTTGAATTATTTCTAGATTGAGGGACTCGGCGGAGCGCTAAAGGTTACCTTAGCATTTAGTCGGTAATGGTGTTGTA